AAGGGTCCAAATGTAGACACAGCCAAATGTGTGTGACATTAACTCAGGGGGCAGAGAGGCCGGGGGAAGTGCCCCCTCTAAGAGTTTCCTCCCATGAGCAGAATACATTTTGTGTTGTGCACCAGTACTGAGTTAATAAATATCTTATAAACCTCTATCTTTTCCCTCTGCTGCCCTGTCTTCTCCCCTTGCTCCATCAGCTCCCACTGTGCCTGCTGCCCCCCCAACTCCTGACCCACCTCTGCTGTCCTGACTCCTGCCCTTCTTACTGCCCTCAGCATTCCTGAAATCTGCCCCTCTCCACCAGCCCTTCTTCCTCCTCCCCGTGCCCACTCTGATCATGTGAGCTACCCTACGTCATCCCCTCTTCTAACACCTCCCTCTACACACCTGCCCTGCCTCTGTCCTCTGGTGCTTGTCCCTCCCCTGCAGGTGTCTGCCCTTCTGCTTCACCTCCAGAATCTCCTGGTACTTGCACCTTCCCTTAGCCCTGCACCCTCCTGGTGCCTCCCCCTTTCCTCACTGCCCCTGCCTCCTTTTTCCCTGATGCCCACCCCCTTACCACCCTCTACTCCTGTTCCCTTCATGCCCCTGTGCCCTCACATGTGCCTTGCTCCATCCCCGCCTTCCTTATGCCCATCCTTTCTTTCAAGCCTTCTCCCAGCACCTCCCTTTCTCCCCTCTAGCCTCCAAAGCCCTTCCTCTCTCCTCTCCCAGCATTATCCTGGCACCACCTCTTTTTCTCATTGTCTCCACTTGGCCCCCTAGCATTTGTCTCTCTCCTCCACCCTGGCCCTTAGTGCCTTCCCCTTTCTTCTCCTGACCTGCTCCCCTCCCCTCAGCACAAGCCCCTTCCTCTCCAACCCTTCCCCCTATTTTTCCCTCCCCCCCTCCCCCTCCTCTGCTGTCCTGACTCCTGCCCTTCTCACTGCCCTCAGCTCTCCTGCGACCTGCCCCCCTCCACCAGCCCTTCACTCCCCCCTGTGCCCACTCCTCCAGTAGCCCCACTCTGATCATGTGAGCTACCCCTCCTCATCCCCTCTTCTAACACCTCCCTCTACACACCTGCCCTGCCTCTCTCCTCTGGTGCTGGTCTCTCCCTGCAGGTGTCTGCCCTTCTGCTGCACCCCCAGAATCCCCTGGCATCTGTACCTTCTCTTACCCCTGGACCCTCCTGGTGCCTCCTCCTTCCCTTACTGCCCCTACCCCCTTTTTCTCTGATGCCCACCCTCTCACCACTCTCTCCCCATGCCCCTCCTGCCCCTCTGTGCCCTCACATATGACGTGCTCCATCCCCACCTTTCTCATGCCCACCCCTTCTTTTAAGCCTTCTTCCCTCCCGCTCTTTCCCCCAATGCCCTTCCCCTCTCCTCTCCTCTCCCACCATCACCCTGTCCCCCCTCCCATTGACACCTCCCCCTCCTGCCTTTTTCCTCATTGTCTCTCTGCTGCAGCCTTTCATTTCCCCTTCTTTGCCCTAAGCTTGTAGGCTGAGCAATTCTACATCTTGTTGCTTTCCCCTTTTAGTCACCCAAGGGCTTGTTCTGTCTTTTCAGAAATTAAAAGGTTTAAATTGACTTCAAACTGTAATTTAATTTCCCACCCCTGGTGCAGCCCTGGCTCCTCCCAACGCTGCTGCCCGGGCTGACAGCTTCCCTTCTCCAGCTGGGGTCAGCTTGCCAGCCTCCTCACCGGAGTCCCTCAGCCCGGTGGGGTCTTCTGGCAGGGCCGTAAGAGCCAGCAGCGCCCCTACTGGCTCCGGTGCAGAGCGCACATGTATGCTTCCCCTCCATGCCGGGCCGGCAGAGTGGTGCCCCAGAAAGTGTGGTGCCCTACGCGATTGTGTACTCTGCGTATGCCTAAGGACTGCCCTGGGTGGTTTTCTCCATACAGATGGGCAAAGTGAGGAAGAAGCAGCTTGAGAACTTACTAGAGCAGGCGTTCTCAAACTTGTGATACCGCAACCCTCCTTTCAGTTGCTCGCGACTCCCCGGGAGATGGGACCCACAGTTTGAGAAATGCTGCACAAGAGGTTTGTTTAAGGATATTCACTTTGGCTATGTCTACAGTGTCGGCTTCTGGGTCTTCTGGTGGGGCCGTAAGTGCTGTCAGCGCCCCTACTGGCTCCGGTGCAGAGCGCACATGTATGCTTCCCCTCCATGCCGGGCCGGCAGAGTGGTGCCCCAGAAAGTGTGGTGCCCTACGCGATTGTGTACTCTGCGTATGCCTAAGGACTGCCCTGGGTGGTTTTCTCCATACAGATGGGCAAAGTGAGGAAGAAGCAGCTTGAGAACTTACTAGAGCAGGCGTTCTCAAACTTGTGATACCGCAACCCTCCTTTCAGTTGCTCGCGACTCCCCGGGAGATGGGACCCACAGTTTGAGAAATGCTGCACAAGAGGTTTGTTTAAGGATATTCACTTTGGCTATGTCTACAGTGTCGGCTTCTTGCAAGTGTTCTTGTGCAAGAAGTCTTGCGCAAGAAAACGTCCACACTGCCATGTGCGAGCTGTGCTTTTGCGCAAGAGCGCCTATGGCAGTGTAGACGCTCTCTTGCGCAAGAAAGCTCTGAGGGCCATTTTAGCCATAGGGCTTTCTTGCGCAAGAAATCCCTGCCGAGCGTCCACACTGCCCTCTCGCGCAAGAGATCCTGCGCAAGAGGGCTTACACCTGCTAAAAAAGAGCGTAGCTCTTGCGCAAGGAGTCCTCTCTTACCACGCTGTACTGTAAATTTACTTATACAAGAGCGGGCGGGTAGTGTGGACGCTCTGCAAATTCTTGCGCAAGAACGGCCATACTTGCACAAGAAGCCACGAGAATAGACATAGCCTTTGTGTATTTTGGCATACGAGCGTGTATTTGTTTTGTAACATTTATGACCTTTTTGAATTTCAACCTTTTTGAATTTCTACACTCGCAGTTTCTTGCACAAGTACTGCCGTTCTTGTGCAAGAATGTGCAGAGAGTCTACACTGCCTGCCCGCTCTTGCGCAAGTAAATTTACAGTACTGTATGGTAAGAGAAGGCTCCTTGCGCAAGAGCTACACTCTTTTTTAACAGGTGTAAGCCCTCTTGCACAGGAGCTCTTGGGCAAGAGGGCAGTGTGGACACTCGGCAGGGATTTCTTGTGCAAGAAAGCCCTATGACTAAAATGGCCATCAGAGCTTTCTTGCACGAGAGAGCATCCACACTGTCATGGGCGCTCTTGCACAAAAGCACAACGCGCACAGGGTAGTGTGGACGTTTTCTTGCGCAAGACTTCTTGCACAAGAACACTTGTGCAAGATGTTCTTGTGCAAGAATCTGCCAGTGTAGATAAAACATTACAGTTATATGATCTCCCCTCCCCAAACAAAATCCTGCAATTATGAAATTTAAAATCAGGAAAAGAAATGCTTAAAACACATAATTGTTCACAATTCTGAACATTTAAACAGATAAAACTGGGGGTAGGATGCAGTGGAACATTGAAAAATTAACACCAATATTATCAATTGAAGTTTTATATCTATTTATACATCTAATCTAATCTCTATCTAATCTATATAATTCTACGAAGCCTATGTATAATGTTCTGAAGTTCACAAGCCTTTCAGTGAGAGGTGACTTAACCTTCATTAACAAAAATAGGGGTTCCTAAAGGGCTATGTAATCTGTCTGTGAAAACCACTGGAGGCAAACTGAGGCAGACAAGTGAGTATTAGAAACCAGGCTCGCAGCTTTAGCACCTAGCACCATTAACTTCTGCAACAAACTGACAAGGGACATGGTGGATTCTCCATTTTTTGATCTTCTAAAGGTAAGATTGGAGGGATTTTGGGAAGACAGGCTTTAGTCAAACACAGATGATTCAATTCACTACAGGGGTAAACAGGTGAAATGTGATGAATGTAACATACCACAGATTAATATAGCTGTTTCCAGAAGCCAACAGCAGCTGTATGGTCTCTGCCTTAGTTAGTTAGTTAGTTTAGTTTTGGACATTCAATTTACTCTAGTCCACAGACCAGGGGGAGGAAGACTCTTGAATATCTTTATCAGATTCAGCTCACTTGGGACATCTGGATACCTGAGTCTGCTGGAACAGACAGTAAGTCCTGTCGCTGTTGCTTTAAGGGGAAGATTCCTTTCTGCACGTAAGTGAAACAAACAACAAGACTATGGTAATGTTTTACTTTCGCTTTTGCAGCTCTTTGCCAAGAAGGAAGCACATTCACAGGCACAAAGATAGCTGTTTGCAACTTGCTAACTGACATTTTAAGTGATTATTTCAATTCATCTCCACAAAACACAGGAGGTCTGAACATACCTGGAGACTGTGAAAGATTCTCAGAACTCCAGAAAGCTCAATCAGGTAGGTTATTTTGACTTCGAAGTGTCTCCTTAAAGCCCTTCCTACATACTGCTTCTTGCTTGGAAATATTCTAGCAACAAAGATTGAATAATCCTGTGATGATTTGTCTTGCTCTTTCTGTAAATGCTACTTCAGCAGTGCATTCAAAGTGACTCTACATTTCAGGGCTTTTCAGGTTACTTTCCTAGAAATATAATTCCAGATTTGTGCAGCATGTTGATTTAATAATTTATTTCTTTTGCAGCTCTGTCTTACTCAAGAACCCTGGCCCCAACTAGATCTCAGGGATGCCTGCAGGAGATTTATAACAAATTAATTTCTTATAATTAGGATGCAGAAGATTGTATCAAATCCCAAGTATTATTATTCTAGTTTTCTTTCTGTTGACATTAGTTTTCTCCCTCTGATTTTTAATCAATCAACATTAAAACAATTTTTCTGTCTTTTTTTTTTTCTTCAGCTTTCATTAGTTTCTCTTCTTTTTCTCCTTTTTGGCAGCGGGGGAAGGGTGAATTAATAAAATATTTTAATTTCAATTTGATTTAGAAATCTCATTTAGCATAATTTCATTGAAAAATGGAAACATTCAAATAGTAGGAAAATGAATGTCTAATGTTTTAAACATTCGTTTTCTATTGAAGAGGCATTTGCCGTCAAACATTCAGATGAGCTACAGGGTTGTCAGGTCACACATTGCTATGGGGAGTTTTGGCATTTTATTGTAAATTTCACCTTCTCTGCTAATTTTCCAAAAGCTCCAGGTCTCCTGTTTTAAGAATAGGTGAGAACTTCAGATTTCATTGAAGAACAAGTAAATGTTTAGCCCTCACATTTGCAGAGAAAAGTTTAGGAATCTGACCTGAGTACACTGTCAAAGGTCAGACATCAAAAGGCAAAAAAATGAGAATCTGAAATCTATTATTAGTATTTTAATTGTAAAGCTAATGATTTTAAGTCCATTTCATATCTATTTTTGTACCTGAATTATGATTATTTTTATTGGTTTGCATAAAAAAGAAACTGAAAAAATCTTAAAGAACATGGTAACCAGAAACATTCAGTTCAATTCACTAATACAGATAAGATGCAAATAGGTTTTAAATACAAAGCAAGTTTCTAACTTTTCCCTTTAATTGTCCAGAACAGTGACGGTAGGTTTTTAAATTTTAATTATAAAAAAGTTTTAATTTTTTAAAATGAATTCCAATTTCCATCCAAATACAGGTTGAGGTAAACTAAATAAAACTCTCCTGTTAATAAGAAATGTCATTCTCCATTGTTGCCATAATAAAAAAGTTAAAATTAAGATTCTGAATAAATTATACAACATGTGTGTATCCTCCTGGTTAGAAAGGATTACCAAATTTAGAGTAAAATCTACATTCAATTGCAAATCAACATATTTCAATGGTTAACAAACAATGAGAATCACTGTTTCGTTAGGGACATAACTAAAAACTCCAGAGTTAACAAACAATGAGAATCACTGTTTCTTTAGGGACATAACTAAAAACTCCAGATATTAAAATGGCTTTCTTTAAATCAATGTTTCCTGCTTGCTGGCTTCAATCATGATTAAAATTAGCAATTTAATTGATCCTAATTTAAAGGACAGCTGCCCCGAACCATCCTATGGATGGAATTGAATCTGAGAGTCCTACATCCTTGGTAAGACTGTGCCCAGCCAGCTAAAGTCTCAAATTTGGCTCCACTGAGATCCACAAAACTCCTTCCAAATCCAGGGGCACTTCAATCCCCTTGTTACTAGGAGCCAGGCTTTTCAGTGTAGAACCTCCATTGGAACCTGTGTCTGGTCAGGCAACGCTGCTGCCTCCCTCAGCAATTCTCAGACTGGGAGGGGAGAGGCCAATGAGGGCCTGGCCTGAGTGTGGAGCCCCAGCCAAGAGGCCTGCTCAGAGACAGCCGCCCAGCCTGCTCCCTTTCAGACTCCAGGCAAAGGAGAAAGTGCCAGCCTGACCTAGGAGGCTGGACAGAGCCTTGCCAGGGATAGGGGAGTCTCAGGTTTAATTCCCCTGCTCTCTGGCCAAGGGGAGAGAGAATTTCACCTGGGGCCTCCCACGCATCAGCCGTGTGCTCTGATCTCTCAGCTGTTCAGATTGTGGGGCTCTCCAGAGCCATCCTGTCCAGGGGGCCTCGTGCTTTGAGGGCACCCTGAGGGACAAAGGTAGCCTGGGGTGTTACTGGGAACCTGGCATCAGGGCTCAGGTTGACCCAGCCTGCTCCACTTGGCCATCTCCCAGCCCTCCCCAGCTATGGGTGAGCTGCTGCCTGGGTTTTGCAGGCATTTCTGGCATCTTGTCAGTCTCAACTTCTGTACAGTGGGGCTGCAGGATCTCCAGCATCAAGAGCTGCTGCCCCTCCACTGCCACAGGGCAGTGAGCTGCCTAAGAAAGGGGCTCTTTGGCTGTGTCTGCACAGCAATGTTATTCCGAGATAGATTTGAAATAACGGGCTCCTGTGGCCCTCAGGCTACGTCTACATTGGCATGATCTTGCGCAAATACTCTTTAATGCAAGAGTTCTTTTGTTAAGGTATTTGCGCAAGAGAGCGTCTACACTGGCATGTGCCTTTGCGCAAGAGATGTGCTTTTGCACAAGAGCATCCGTGCCAGTGTAGATGCTCTCTTGCGCAAGAAAGCTCTGATGGCTATTTTAACCATCAGGCTTTCTTGAGCAAGAAATTCATGTTGCCTGTCTACACTGGCCGCTTGAGCAAGAACAGTTGTGCAAAAGGGCTTATTCCTGAGTGGGAGCATCATAGTTCTTGCGCAAGAAGCACTTATTTCACACATTAGAACGTCAGTGTTCTTGCACAAGAACTCCCCTCCAGTGTAGACAGGCAGCAAGTTTTTGCGTAAAAGCAACTACTTTTGCGCAATATCATGCCAATGTAGACGTAGTCTTAGTGTCTGAGGAGTAAGGGAAGTCGGGGGGCAGAGGGCTCTGTCATGGAAGCACTGCTGTGTAGACAGTGCCCAAAGCCAAAACAAGCTATTTCGACTTAAGCTACACAATTAGCCTAGCTCAGGTTGCCTGGCTTATTCCCAGTGTATCCCTGCAGTGCAGATGTGCCCTCTGTGATTGAAAGCTACACAATTAGCCTAGCTCAGGTTGCCTGGCTTATTCCCAGTGTATCCCTGCAGTGCAGATGTGCCCTCTGTGATTGATGGAAGTGGAGACCTTCTCTGTTCTGGCTCTTAGATCTTATCCAGGCCTTAGCTCAGGCTATGTCTAAACTGCAGGTTTCTTTCAGAAGAAACTTTTCTGGAAGAGATCTTCCAAAAAAGTCTTTCAAAAAAAGAGTCCACACTGCCAAAGCGCATCGAAAAAGCGATCTGCTTTTTCGACAGATATAGACCATTCACTGTGGATGCTTTCTCACATATCAGCTATGATTGCTATGGGCAGAGTGGCCACCAAGGCACCTGTGCTTTTTCCTCTTTCCTCTTCTTCCGAAAGAACTCCCTCTTCCCTGTCCACACTTGCCTTTTCCTGAAAGAACTCTCTCAAAAAAGACTTCTTCCTCATAGAAAGAGGTTTACCATTTTTGGAACCCCCCTCCCCTTTTTTTTTCAATTTATTTTTCAAAAGAACGCGGTTGTAGTGTGAGTATAAATGAAGTATTTATTTGATAAACGGCTGTTTTTCTGAAAAAAGTCTTCAGTGTAGACATACCTTCAGTGATGGAAAAAATTGCCTGGACTCACAGATACATCCAGATCAAGCACTGTGTTCCTAATGGCTGTGTTTTTATCATTGGGTTTTTACATTGTGTATGATTTTTTTTTTTTTTTTACTATGAGCAAACATTGGGAGCTGGGTGTGTGGCTTGTCTCAGTGCACCTAGGGAAGGACTTTGACAGGAGTTAACTGTAGTTATCTGATATCTGTGGGGAGTGGGCCAGTGTTCCCATCATCTATTTCCTTATTGCACCGCCGCTTTTGCAGTGTCCCATAGTCAAGCGGGTCTCTTAGCGGCTGCTTTCCAGTTTGCAAAGTCCTTCCTTAGGGTGTCCTTTGCCTGAGAAGTCTGTGAGTTAGCACCTGTTCACACACCTCCTCAGAAGCCATCTCCCTGGCTATCCGGGTTGCCAGATGCTTTCCCAATTCATCGTCTGGCCTCTGCGGATGGTATTTAACGTTTCAGCTTGTCTGGCTGTGACATGCAAGTGCTTTGTTAACGATGTGAAGGACTAGTCAAATGCTTATCGGATAGTCGACAGGATAGTCAACTAGTTGCTTCCCTCTCCCCTTCCTGCTTCTATCAGAAAGAGGCCTTGTGGGCCAGATTCAAAAGCATCTGAATCAATTTGTTTGGAATAGATGCCATTATTGCCCTGCTTAGCTGTTCCTGCCATTAGATGGCTAAGCCCAGAGGCTCATTAATTTTTACTCCTACCTATTTTTATTGGCACTCAGTTGATAACAGAGTCTAGATTACAATTACAGTCCAAGTACAGAGTCCTGTTTGTAACCGTCTTTTGACACTGGGCACTTTCTGATTTATGGCTCTCAGAAGAGGCACTTTTTTTAACCCTCTTTTCCCCCACTGAATCTCTCTCCTCAAGGTCCTGTTTTCTGCTTTTTCTCAGGCTGGGTTGACCCTGCTGACTAGCTAGGAAAAGTTATGTGAGACACAATGGAGGTTGACAGCAGCTCTTACTGTTCAGACTAGAATCCAGTCTGTGCACTTCTGGAATAAGGGTCTCTCTGCCTTCCGGGCAGCATGTCCTGGAGGTTTGCTCAGGGATTGTTCTTCCAGCGGAGAATCGTGTGTTCGCCTCACGAGCCATCTCCCCTTGTGAGCGAGGCAGACTGTTGTCCTGGATGGATTTGGTGAATGCTCTTTTGAAGCCATAACCAAGAAGCAGCATTGTGATGTGTGTGTGTGTCCTGGTTGTCGCATTATCCCACCCTTTCAGATCTCCCTAGCACAGTATGGAGGATGCCTCTGATCTGGGTGACTCTGTTGCTACATCTACACTGTAGCCTTCTTCCTGAAAAGCTTATGCAAATGAAGCACAGAGTAGACTATTGCTGTGCTTTATTTGCATAATTAATTAGCAGCAGTTTTGCAGTTTTTGCATAATTAATTAGCAGCAGTTTTGCAGTTTTTGCATAATTAATTAGCAGCAGTTTTGCAGTTTTTGCATAATTAATTAGCAGCAGTTTTGCAGTTTTTGCATAATTAATTAGCAGCAGTTTTGCAGTTTTTGCATAATTAATTAGCAGCAGTTTTGCAGTTTTTGCATAATTAATTAGCAGCAGTTTTGCAGTTTTTGCATAATTAATTAGCAGCAGTTTTGCAGTTTTTGCATAATTAATTAGCAGCAGTTTTGCAGTTTTTGCATAATTAATTAGCAGCAGTTTTGCAGTTTTTGCATAATTAATTAGCAGCAGTTTTGCAGTTTTTGCATAATTAATTAGCAGCAGTTTTGCAGTTTTTGCATAATTAATTAGCAGCAGTTTTGCAGTTTTTGCATAATTAATTAGCAGCAGTTTTGCAGTTTTTGCATAATTAATTAGCAGCAGTTTTGCAGTTTTTGCATAATTAATTAGCAGCAGTTTTGCAGTTTTTGCATAATTAATTAGCAGCAGTTTTGCAGTTTTTGCATAATTAATTAGCAGCAGTTTTGCAGTTTTTGCATAATTAATTAGCAGCAGTTTTGCAGTTTTTGCATAATTAATTAGCAGCAGTTTTGCAGTTTTTGCATAATTAATTAGCAGCAGTTTTGCAGTTTTTGCATAATTAATTAGCAGCAGTTTTGCAGTTTTTGCATAATTAATTAGCAGCAGTTTTGCAGTTTTTGCATAATTAATTAGCAGCAGTTTTGCAGTTTTTGCATAATTAATTAGCAGCAGTTTTTGTGCAGAAAGGAACAGTGTAAATGGGTCTGTTCAGCACAAAAAAACCTTTTTTGCACAAGATCCCATATACCTTCTTTTTTGAGGCATAAGGACTATGCGCAAGAGGGGTTTTTGTGCAAAATAGACCCATCTACACTGCTTGTTTCTGCGCAAAAACCTCTTGTGCAAAAAGCATCAGAAGCGAATATGCAAATGAAGAGTGAGACGTTGCTAATGAGTGCTTCATTTGTATTGCCTCGTCCACAAAAAAGAGGCAGTCTAGATGTAGCCCTAGAGTTCTTTGAGAAGGTCAACAAACGTGGACAAGAGGGATCCAGTGTCTCTAGTGTACTTAGATTTCCAGAAAGTCTTTGACAAGGTCCCTCTCCAAAGGCTTTTACATTAAATAAATTGTCATGGGATAAGGGGGAAGGTCCTCTCGTGAATTGCTAACTGGTTAAAAGACAGGAAACAAAGAGTAGGAATAAGTGGTCAGTTTTCCGAGTGGAGATAAATAACTAGTGGGGTCCCCCAAGAGTATGTCCTGGGACAAATCCTATTCAACTTATTTATAAATTATCTAGAGAAAGAGGTAAACAGTGAGGTGGCAAAATTTGCAGATGATACCAAACTGCTCAAGATAGTTAAGACCAAAGCAGACTGTGAAGAGCTTCAAAAAGATCTCACCAAGCGAAGTGACTGGGCAACAAAATGCAAATTAATTGTAATGCCAATAAATGCAAAGTAATACATGCTGGAAAATATCCCCAATGTACAATAAAAATGATGAGGACTAAATTAGCTGTTACCACTTGAGAGAGATCTTGGAGTCATTGTGGAGAGTTCTCTGAAAACATCCACTCCGTGTGCCGCGGCAGTCAGAAAAGCAAACAGCATGTTAGGAATCATTTAAAAGAGGAAGGAAAATAAGACGGAGAATAAGACAGAGAATGTCTTGTTGCCTCTCTATAAAACCAGGGGATGCCCACAATTTGAATCCTACATACAGATGTGGTCGCTTCATCTCAGAAGAGATCTCTTGGCACTGGAAAAGGTTCAGAAAATCGCTGGGGGCAGTGCAGGAGTTGAGCATCCCTGGGGAAGTGATTGTGGGAGTCTGACACACATGGCTCATGGGTGCCCTGAGAAGAGTTAGGCTGGGCCTGGCAGTGGCAGCCCTGTTCCTGGGGGCTCTGAGAGGAAAGGCAGTGCAGTCGGGGAGCACGCTGCTGAGGGTGGTTCTGTGGCTAGAAGCCTACTCTGTGCAGGCCTTGAATGGGACTTTGGGAATGCCATGGTCCTTTGTCAAGGCAACAATGACCTGTAAATGGACTTGTTTTTCCTGTAAGCTTGTGTGGAGGGGCTAGGAGGGGCCCTGTGAAGCAAGAGATAGTGTCACCCGACACCACAATTCTGGGATGCTGGTGTTTTTCTCCACCAGAGCAGAAGGAAAGAACACAAAGAATTCCTGGTTTTGGAAAAACCTATGTAGGGGAAAGCAGCCAAACAATAGGGGCAGGTGCTGTCAGGTGTCAGGACACCCCGGCTTATCCTATAAGAGGTCATGTGGAACTGAACAGGGAGAAAGGTCCGAGTCCAAACCGGAAGCGAGCCCTCTGTGTGACAGTGCTTATTACAACAAGTGTTAGGGTGAGAGATTACATCTAACCAGTCTGTGGTCTGTTTTATTTTACTTAGTATTTTACTTAGTTCTGTCTGCTATCTCATATGGCTACTTAAATCCTACCCTGCACCCTTAATAAAATCACTTTTGTTGATGAATGCAGGGAGGGTCAGTAAGGGTATGTATATACTAGCTCGTTAGTTCGAGCTAGGTAGGGTAATTAGGGCAAGCGGAGTTGGAAATGAAGCCCAGGATTTAAATATCCTGGGCTTCATTTGCATGTTCCTGGGCACCGCCATTTTTAAATCCCCCTTAGTCCGAACTCCGTGCCCGCGGCTGCACATGGCACAGAGTAGGTAGTTCGAATTAACGATCCTAATTCAAACTACCGTTACTTCTCATTCCATGATCCTACTCCTCATTAAAGATCCTAATTCGATCTACCGTTACTCCTCATGGAAGTGATGAGCCACTTCAAGAATTGATTGTTTATGTCCTGGGGGGATCAGGAGCTTTGCTGGGATTTGCTCCGTGACACACAGAGCCTGAGAGTCCATCTGAGACTCAGCCGCCCCTTGAGACGTCTCCTAGGGTTTCAGAGTTGGATGGGGATAGATTGGAACAGGCTCAACACACTCTGAATTGACTTCTGCCTGACATGGCTTTGCTCTAGGTAGGACACCTGGTAATGGTGGTTGCCTGTTGAGTTTTGCAGGGCTCTTTGAACTCCCCTTAGGCCTGACTTACCCCAGGTTTTTCAGGAGAGCATCAGGGAGACCCACTCTGAGCAGTCCTCACTGTTTTGCCTTTAAGAAAGGGTACCTAGGGGAGGAGGGCTGAAGGATTGGAGATCTGTGTGCCTGCATTGCCCTGACTATAAACTTTTCTCAAAGGCCTTGGTAAAAAGACTAGAAACTGTGATTGGGTCAGTTGTGCACCATGGCAGGCCCATTGCATCTTCTACAGGTCTGTTTTTAATAACATTTTCCTATTATGGGATGTAGTTTTGGCTGAAAACAAACCATTTTTGTACACGTGATTGGTTTCTCTAGATTATGAAACGGCTTTTGATCAACTCTGGGAATCTTCCACGAATTGCTGATCCAATGCGGCACATAAAAGTTATCGTCCTTCATAGAAACAGAGAAATGTATTCCAGTCAAGTGAAGAGCCTTGTTTTTTTTTTTGTTGTTTTTTGTTTTTTGGCCAGTAATGCATCCTGTTCATCGTTTTCCATTGTGTCTGTACCCAGGCTGTCTGAAATCACTGTGGTGGTGTTACTCAACACATTTGTTGTTGTTGTGGGCTGCCCCCGTTTCCTGTCGTCTGGATCCAGTTCCAGTGAGATGAAAGGCCTCTCCCTCAGCCATAGCTCCAGAGCCAGCTCCTCCCTACCCGCTTTTATCCTTTTCTTCATAACGTTTTACGTTCACAAGCTGGAATCAGGTAGGAACGTCCGTGGGTTCGGCTGCTGCTTGCAGGATTTATTCATTGGCTTTGATCTATATAATTGCCCTGTTTCACTAGTTATGCAACACTGAATAAAAATTAGCACAATTGTATCGACATAAGTAATAATCAATGAATTGTTATGATCTGGGTGAAATTTGTTCTGGATTGAGCTGACCTTGTTCAAACTGGTGTCTGACTGCACCTGTCACGTAATAGAGCCATAAAAGACAGTGAAGTAGCCGCACCTAAAACAAAGCTAAATAGAGTCTACACAAAGGCTAGGGCTACATCTACACGACTGATCCTACAGTGGTACTGAAAAGCCTCCCATGTAGCTGCTCTATGCCAATAGGAGAGAGCTCTCCCATTGGTATAATTACACCACCCCTAATGAGCAGCAGTAGCTATGTCGGCAAGAGACTATATTCCACCATCAAAGCCCAGTCCACCGCAGCACTTCTATTGGTGAAACGTCTATTGATCAGGGTTTCACATCCCTCTCCAACAAAAGTCTGATGGACAAAAGTGTTCATGTAAACACAGCCAAGCACTGTGGATATGTTGGGTGTGAGAAGGGGGTAGAAAAGACAGAGGACCTTTTCCGCTGGGTTTTGTGACCAGGTGTGTGTGGAGGGTTTAAGGCTATGTCTAGACTGCAGGTTTCTTTTGGAAGAAGCTTTTACACGAAAAACTTCTTCCGAAAGAGAGCGTCCACACAGCAAAAGCACATCGAAAAAGCCATCTGCTTTTTCAAAAGATAGTGTCCACACTGAATGGACGCTTTCTTACATGTAAGCTGCAATTGCTATAGATGGAGTGGCCACCAGGGCACCTGTGCTTTTTCCTCTTTCCTCTTCTTCCAAAAGCGCTCCCTCTTCCCCATTCACATGTGCCTTTTTCCAAAAGAGCTTTTTCCCAAAAAGTCTTCTTCCTCATAGAAAGAGGTTTACCAATGTTGGAAAAACCCCTCTGTTCTTTCAATTTTTTTTTGAGAGAACATGATTGCAGTGTGGATGGAAGTTCATTTTTTTTTTTCAGAAAAACAGCTGTTTAGTGTAGACATACCCTCTGAGAGAGAACACACAGAATCAAGAACAGAGAGGGAGGTGGAAACAAAAACAAAAATAGCCAGGAAGCCAACAGGACCTCAGTGGAATCCTGAGAAGAGAGAATGTTTGGGTCTGCTGAGTAGAGAGGGTTGGGGCTGTATGCTATGAAACAGCTCCTTTTCCTGTTTCCTTGATTCCTCTGGGTCTGGAGAAGTAAGACTTGTATGTTCCTTGTAAATAAAGAAGATTGCATCAAAGAGAATACCAGGGCTCCGTCAAATTCTATGGACACTTGCTAGCCAGTGACAGAGCAGCACAACACCTGTATGGAATGGGACGTACGTTAGAATTGTGGGTGGGTGGGAGTGTCATTGATTAAAAGGGAATCTGATTTAGCTCCTTTGTGCTTTTTGCAGCTCGGTTCACCGTGGCTGGGCCTGGTCACCCTGTCCCGGCTGTGGTGGGGGAGGACATCGTGTTACCCTGCCACCTGTCTCCCAGCGTCAGTGCGGAGCACATGGAGGTGAGATGGTTTCGACATGAGTTCGCGTCCTTTGTGCACCTGTACCAGCATGGGAAGGATCAGTTTGGGCAGCAGATGCCCGAGTACCACGGCAGGACGGAGCTTTTCAAAGCTGACATCGCAGGTGGGAACGTGGCCCTGAAGATTGCCAACGTCAGGCCCTCCGACGAAGGACAATACCACTGCTTTGTCCAAGAAGGTGTCTCTTATGAAGAAGCTGTTCTGCAGCTGGAAGTAGCAGGTCCGTAACATGGATCTGTCATCTCTTTTTAGGTAGCTCTTGGACCCAGACCCACAAAACTGCTTAGGCACCCACTCCCCGTGTCAGGGGCATATGTCCATGCCCCTGAGAACCTGAAAAAGTCATTACATGAGTTAGTGGTTGGTTCAGAGAAGGAGAAGGAAAATGGTTGTGTAATGATCTGTTTTAAACACTGGAATAAGGTGCTTATGGAGGTTGGAGAATCTCCATCTCTGGAGATATTTAAGAGCAGGTTAGATAAATGTCTATCAGGGATGGTCTAGACAATGCTGGGTCCTGCCCTGAGGGCTTGGGGCTGGATTCAATGACCTCCCGAAGTATCTTCCACTCCTAGTGTTCTATGATTCTAAGCGAAACAGCAACAGCAGGAGAGATTGAAAGAGCCCCACACACCAGACTATCCCGGAGCCTTGGGGTTAGAGCAGGCTCATGAGAACCAGGCAACCCCTGTTCAGATACTTTCTCCCCATTAGGCCGAGGGATGCTCCCAAATAGTGGATTTGCCTTTTGTTCCAGAAGCGAGGGATCTCCTCCCTGGCTATTCAGCCATAGCAGCAGCTGGGTCTTTGTTACTGGCCCAAGCTCCACTTGTTTTAGACACCTCACTCGGTCCCTCTGCAGAATTCAGGCAGAAAATGCCTCACTTCACACACCACAGCCAGAGGAGGAATTGATGGAGTCTAAGCCAGCCAGTGGGAAATGGCAACCACCTGCTTGTGTCCTAAGCTCCACCCTCGCTCTGAGAGTCTAATGTGGGGCTCCCTTAATCTCTTCTGTTGAAGTGTTTCCAGGTGGGATAATGATGGAAGAGTGACTGGAGCAGGGGGACCAGACTCAGTGTTTCCCACCTCCCAGGTGGGTGTACTAGCCACTGGGCAACACAGCCTCTCTTGCACACACTGACTACTTCAGTATTTACTAGATGAAAGACAGAGGCAAGATTTTTCTGTGTCAAGAATCTTTCAATTAGTCAGTGTGTGCTAACAAGTTCCAGGTGGCTCTCCGGTGAGACAGCAGTGAAAAACACACATTTTCCTCACCTCCATAACAATCAAAACAAACTTTGTTTAGTGGCTGTTACGATTGCATCAGGACATGCTGCCCAGGTGCTAGCTCTAGTCCAGCCACAGCATTTGGGCTTGAAACAGGAATTAATTAAAGGACGGTTTATGGCCTGTGTGATGCAGGAGGTCAGACTCGACAATCACAGTGGTCCTTTTTGGCCTTAAAACCTAATGAATCTGGGAACACAAAACCAAAGGCTAGACATGAGAAATCAAGGGGAAAACCTCCTGCATTCCTTAGCCCCTTCATATTGCCTGCACCGCTGCAGCGAGCTGCACCCCCATGTTCTGTAAGGCGTCCTCCTTCATCTCACAAGCCCCAGGGTTGTGGCACAGTTAAGTAAATGCTTGTGAGAGTCTAGTTTCCTGTTTCCATGAAAATCAGTAAGGAAGAAAGTGTGTTCAGTCAGTTATTGGAAACGTCAGTGTTTGTCCTCTAGGCTGTAGAGATATTGATTTCTCACTGATTTACTCACTCTAGCTTCAGGCTCTGCGCCTCAGATCTCAGTGGAGGGTTACCAGGACGGAGGGATCCGGATGGTCTGTCATCTGGCCGGGTGGTACCCAGAGCCCGAGGTGCTGTGGAGAGATCTCAGCGGGCAGCGTTTATCTTCCTCAGCGGAAACCAAATCCAGAGACGCCCAGGGGCTCTTTGAAATCAGAAGTTCCCTCGTTGTGACCGAGCGCTCCAACCAGAATGTGTCCTGTTCTATCAGAAGCACCCGCTTCAGCCTGGAAAAGGATCCCTCGACTTTCTATATGTCAGGTCAGTGACTACCCAACCCAAACGCTGCCATCCCCAATAGGAAAAAATCCCTTGAAATATTTAGTTCCTCACAGAAAACTACACTGAGGTGCAGTTAAAGTAGAGAGCACAACGGCAGGTGAAGCACATGCCACGGATTTTGTGATTATCTCAGAAACAAATGTTTTAACCTAGGAAATTCAGGTTTAAGGTTAAACAAAACATAAATATATTTCAGCCTAGAAATTCCTTGTGGACATGACAATAATTTAAGCATCTTGGTTGGTGTCTGAAGATCAGCATACTACAAATCGATACAGTGATTCGTAATATATATTTAAATTGAAATTCAATTCCTTCTTCTCATGCATTCACCACAGGGCAGTGTTCAGGTGATGGTCTATTGGGGGCACTACTCATTGCTTGGACTGTCTGGCTCCTAGTGGACTGATAGATCAAGGACTAGGTTCCTTGCCTCCCTTGACTGTGGAGAGGGAGATGTGATCTGCTGAGATCTGTTCAACCTGAGTAAATTTGTGGCTGTTGAGTCTCTGCTCACAGAAGATCAGGAACCAGGCAGGGCCAAGAAAGTCTGGAACCCCGGGAACACACATTTCAGTGAGTCACTGCCTACAAGGTCCAAGTTTTCATAGGAAGTCTCATTTCCTCCCCCCCCTCCCCCCCCGTTACCGAACATCCCCCAGGGAAAGGGGTGGCCATAACCACAAAGCCCTGTGTGCCTCATCCAAAGCCTGTTACCAACATCAGTGGGATTTGGGTCCAGTCCTGAGCCAGCTGAATTCAAGAGTTTGGGGATATTTCTCTGCCCTCCCTGAGCTATTTATTTCCTCTCTTACTGCCTCAGATTTCCATTTACTCTGCAATTCCCTGATGTTTCAAAAATTTGTTTCACCTAAGGGGCAGTTTTCTGCCGGGAAATGTAACGATACGATGATTTCTCTTTTAACTGTGCTACTAGCTCCATAGAAAGGAGACTCTTCCTTTGCTCACGTTCCCCGGGTTTGGCTTCTAGTTCGGGTGATAGGTTCAGAAGCCCCCGTTATCAAACATAGTGAAGAACCTGCACAAGGACCAGCAGAATTTTAAGATGTAAACAAACAAATCCACAAGGAGTTAGCCGCATGCGCTGCTGCATGCGCAAACACATACAAAACACGAGACCATCCTTACAGCAGCAAAGGATTCAAACATTAGAAAGGACGGTATTGCGGTTCCCTGTGCATTCGAAATGTGTCCCCTTTGTGTCTGGGAATAAGGATACAGGTTCTACTACCATGGTCGTGTATTATCTTCCCCTCTCCCACTTCCCAAAGCACCATTCACCAACCTTACCCATGCTGCTTTTTCGAAATAGCTCCTCCCCAGAGTCATTCAAACTAATTACTCCCCAGTGCCTCCTGGGGCTCTAAGTCGAGGTAGCACGTCCACATAAAGGGAGCCTGGCCTGGACTCATTTCGAGGCTGCCCCATAGTGGGGACCCACTAGTTGGCTTTTGTTATTTTGGGAGTTATTAGTTCAAAGTTAGTTCTTTCTAAACGAGTTCCTAGTGTAGACATGCCCTGAGAGCATGGGAGAGATAGGCCCCTTGCTGGCCTTTCTAGAGCCCCACCCCTCACAAGCTGGGAGCTGCCAGCAGCAGGAACTGTGGGGAAAGTTCAGCTTTGTCCTTCTACTCTTGAGCAGGAGCATGGGGATGTCACGTGTGCAGCACCAGGGGCTGTGGGCGGATGGAGCAGGTTCAGTGAGACACGATCTTCAGATAGTGAAGCTGCTGAACTCTAAGAACTCTACCGTGTGTGCACAAACTACAGCTTTTCAGAGGCTTAGCACTTGGCCAGTTGTTGGGTGGATTTTCCCAGGGAAAAGGCCCATCCCTGCCATGAGGTTGCCCGTTACTTCATCTCATATCTCTGCTCCAAAGTTCAGGCAACTCAAGTTTCTCCTAGAAAAGCTCATTGGATTTTCTTTCTGATGTCAATAAAACCTGTCATTCTCTAGCCTCGTTCTCAGAAACATTTGAACCACTTTGGCTGAAACTTGCCAGAAAAGTTCAGTCTGGGGCAGCCACCCAGCATGGAACTTTTCTGCCCAGAGAGTTACAATTTCGCAAAATAGCAAGCAATTGAATATGAGAAGGATGGAACCACCTTAATACTAGGGTATATGACCAGGCCTGCTTACTTGTGCTGGAGAGGGGCACACGGAGAGAGGCTGGTAGCAGGTCCCATCGTATTTAATACACCATGCACATTTAATACACTATCACAAGTGTGTGAGCAGAACCTCTTTCTCATGTTGGTTTCTGCTCACTTTTAGATTGCAGGGAGCATCCCCACACTTGTTCCAAACAAATCCTGATTAGATACATGATACTAAAATACAAGGATGCTGCCTATGCTTCCAAACTGAAGAATATTGTTTATTTCCAACCTAATGTGGGGTCTGTGTTTCAGATTTCTTTTTCCCAAGAACGTCACCATGGCTTGTGGTTTGGAGTGTCACTCTGGTGATTTTGTTGGTGTTCATCGGCCTGACACTTTTTCTGTTCAGATTAAGAGGTAATCTTAACTCATCTTAATCTTAATCTATTGTGGAAAACACGGTGTGGTCAGAATGAGCTCTCCAGGTTAGGAAAGACAGTTATAATTTTTCTACATGAGAAAGTCATCCCAGTTTAAGGTGTGAGATTCAGTTGATTTTCTGAAGTCAATGCAAACCTATATGTGGACACATGGATTACAGTGCAGTTTATTTCAGGGTAACTTAAACCTGTTCTTATTCCTCCTAAAATAAGTGTAACTCTTGGACTGCACCAGTTGAATTACATTGAAAAAGGAGCTAAGGGAATTAACTGTCCTGCTACTGCTGAAAATCGATGTGTTTGGGGCTCGTACGTCCCCTTGGCTCCAATGAAAACTCTTGCCTGAGGGCTGGTCTTCATTCTGTGGAAGATCAACGCTTCTGTGATTGATCTTTTGGAGTTTGATTTACCCAGTTTCGTTAAGACTTGCATTTGTTCCCATTAGCTTCCCATTCTGGGGATGCCCCCCACGCTCGGCTAAAGGTAAGTCAGCTCCAGCTACATATTCTACATAGCTGGAGTTGCACCCCTTAAACCAAGCTGTCAGGTCTAGTGTAGACCTAGCCTCAGAGAGTTTGAGGTTTAATTCTAATCTAGTGTGTTCAAAAGATGACTACAACACTAAGGAATGATGCATTCTGTTTGTGGGTTTGCCTGGCTCCTTCTAGGGGAGTCACGGTGCAAATCTTCCTAGTTTTTTGCAGTTTTATTTTTGTTTTGAGTGTGTGTGCTAATGTTCAGTCTTGGGGCCGGCAGGCTACATTCTTGGTAGTTTGGGGTTCGGCAGAGTTTCAGGAGAAGGGAACCAAACAGGAGAGTTAGCTCATTTCTTGGACCTCATTTCTCGAGACATCTGGAAAAATGGACACCTGGCTAACACCATGCTGGACCACAGATATTTCTGAACAAGAGAGTTCTGGATGAGAAAGATTCAACATGTACTGATTTCTGCCCCCTGGGAGCACCAGCTTGAGAGAGGAACAACATTATTATTAGGCAGGGGTTCATAAATGAGAATATCCTCATTCATGGTGTGAAACTGAATAAAAACACCTTTCAATCTGGAGTCACTGGAAAAGCCCTTAAACTGTGCTCCTTTTGTTTTCTAGGGCAACATCTCGACGAGATCAGTAAGTTCCATTTTTCTCCTCGCAGGACACACGTGATGCTATAAAGAATTTTGAATGTGAACATGTCCACTAGAAAATCCTCAGCAATGCTGCCCTGACTCAGTGCATGGCATGTTATGACAGGAGCGGGTAGGAAGCCAGCCTTGGGCATGTGTCTCCTGGAGTGAACGATGGGGGAACTGGGCACGTGATGCCCATGGTAGAAATGGCTCCATGCTAGTTGCATATAAAGAGCTTCCCAGAGGGGCTGGTGGCAGCCCTGGATGGAAGGGACGATGTGGCCACTGGGGGCAGGATCCTGTGAAGGTGGTATGGGATGCATGAGTTAGAATTGCCACTTTTTGCCCAGACTTCTGGGTTCCTTCTGCCTTTCCATGTTGAGCTGCTGCAGGTCTGCCCCAACGCAGTCACACCCCACTAAAAAGTGACTTGCATTGGTGGGCTTACCCTGTGCCCAGTGCCAAGGGGTGTATCGATGTTAAACAGTGCCCAGCAGACAGGCTGAAATGATCAATGACTGGGGACCAGGAGGAGGTCAGTTCACCCAAGAGAAGCTTTTAAAGGAGCCTTTTTCTTTGTTTTTTTATTCAGGTAAACTTCACACAGAGCTAGGTAAGGGCATGTTCTGTTTGGCTTCTCTCTACTGCACCCCTTTCTGTGGTAACTCACCCTATTGGTACTGAATTGGTCAGGCTTCCTTCTCATCCTCACCTGTGTCTTTGCTTTCAGAGCAGAGGAGATCCCTCAGTGACGCAGGTAATTCCAACACGTGTTTAATCGATGGGAGACCCTGCTCCCTCTCACCGTGCAAAACACAAGGAGGAAAGAGGAATGTAATATTTCCCGGCCCAAAGAACAGAGGGGCCCTGCGGTTCAAAGGAGGAAGAGGAAGGAATCCACACAACAACACGCCCTCCTGACACCTAGTTCAGCTCATGCTGTAAATGATCCTGGCTCCGAGTGACTGAGCTGTGATTGTCCCATAGGATCCCAGTCCTGTTGTCAGGTCCAGGCACAAGAGTGACCAGCCAAAGTGTTCAAACCAAAGCCCCCTTGTGATGGGTCAGGTTCTGCTTTTCTCCTCCATTTTTCCTCTCTCTGTCAAACACCAGCCTTGTACTGTGTTAAATCATATTTTCTACTTTCTCCTTCATGGACTCACTTCCAACCCCTCTTTTTTCTGCCTTTTTCCTCTCTGTCAAACAGCAACTTCCTGCTGTTTTTATCCATATTTTCCATTTTCTCTTTCATGGACTCACTTCCTAACTCTCTTTCTCCTCCCTCCGCCACATACCTCCTTCGGCTCTGAAAGCTCTTTGCTTGTAAACCAAAATCCTAACTTCAGACTCTGAAATCGGGGGTGATAATTCTCTTTGGCTGGCCCAGATGATGAGCTACAGAACTTTAATTGGGGACTTGTTTAATTTTGTCATGATCTACAGTGGTGGCCCCCATGACAGACAACGGATGTCTAAGCACCACGATTTTAAAATGGAGGGAGGGTGCATCTGGGAAAAGATTAATGTGAGTGGAAGTCTCCTGGGACTTCCTGAAATGTTAAGGCCTTTAATCCCCTTCAGAGGGAGACATTCTGTGTCTCAGGCTTGACTTTTTTCTCTCTCACTTCCCTGTCTGCTGGTGAGTGAGTCCTTCCATCACTGGGCTGAGACCTCAGGGCAGCTCCCCACTCAGAGCCGGGCGCCCCTGGAGGCAGGAGAGTCCCTGAGTCACTGCCCAGCTGGGGCAGATTCTGTCCCTGACTCTATCAAACCCTCCCTAGGGCCAAGCTCTGCCCCTCATGCTCTGATTCTCTCTCCCCAGCCAACGTGATGCTGGATCCTGCCACAGCACAGCGCGACCTCGTCCTGTCGGAGGATGGGAAACGCGTGAGCCGGGCAGAGACACAGAAGCTGCTGCCCGACAACGCTGAGAAATTTGACAGTGATCACTGTGTGCTGGGCCGGGAGGGCTTCACCGCAGGGAGGCATCGCTGGGAGGTGGTGGTGGGAAACGGGGGGCACTGGGCTGTGGGGGTGGCCAAGAAATCTAGGAGGAGGAAAGGAGCCATCAGCCCTGAAGGGGGGATCTGGGCTGTGGGGCGGTGGGGGGATCAGTTCCAGGCTCTCAATGACCCTATGACCACCCTGACCATGAGCCCCCCCAGCAGGATCCGGGTTTGCCTGGACTGTGATGGGAGGCAGGTGACATTTATTGATGCTGGTACTGAGGCCTCGATCTTCACTTTCTCGTCGGGCTCCCTCCCTGTGGAGAAAATCCGACCCTGGCTCTGGGTGGGGTCAGGATCCCAGCTCAGCCTGAGTCCCTGAGACATGGGGGTGTAGAGAGACGTCCCCCTGGGGACCTTTAAATCAGCCTGTCTAGTCTCCATGACCCTGGAGGACTCCCAGCTTCTCATCTCCATAACCCCGTACTCCCCCCTTTCTTTTCCTGTAGCCCCAGGGATGAGACAGGAAGGGGGGAGAATGCCTGGGCCTGGAGGAGGAGCAGATGTGGGGGCTGGGTAGGGAACAACTAAAGGCGGGCTGGGGACAGGCTACAAAATGCAGGGGAGGGGGATGGTATGGGAGGAGCTGAACTTGAGGTAACAGTGAAAACAAAAGGAAAAGTTCAAGTACAAGGAAATAAACAGTGTGTCCTGGGAAAAGTGTAAAACTGGATATAAAAGCAACAAAAGAAACACTCCTGGGGGAGAAAACTGCCAATGGCTGTTGGAGGAGAGGGTATAAATGTAGGGGAAAAGGAGAATATGAGGGGGCTGGGTGTCTGAGAGAGATTGGGGGAGAGTAGAAGAGACATCAAGAAATAAACAGGAACAGAACAGGGTGTCTAGAAATAACACATGTGGAAGACGAGGCTGAACTGAAGGCAGCTCAAAAGGGGCATAGAAATGTACCGATCCTGATGCAAGGGGAGACGGCCGCTCACTCATTTCAGGTTTCTACCTTGACATGGTTGCTGTATCAGTGTCATTAAAACATAAACTCCTTCTCCCATCTGTGTGCCTCTTTTCCATTGGCGTGGGGATTAAAGCTGCTTCTGTGCTCCTTTTCATTCTGATGGGCTTTTACGGTATTAAAAAATGGGGGGTAGAAAAGACAAGTCTGATTTGTCCTGTTGCTGGGTGAGGAGGGGTTAGATTTGTTTCTGGTCTGGGTGGGTCCTCCCAGGCTATGGTGTCTAGGGGGGGGGTGTTCATGGGATGGGAGCTGTTCCCACAGACTGTCTCTGAGTATCCACACTAGGAAGCAGGCAGGGCTGTTCCTAGAGAAACATGGGGGACCAGAGTAAACCGCTCCCACAATGCCCCAGAACTCCTCCGCCTCTTCCCCCAGCCCCAACTCCAACTCCTGCTCTACCCTCTCCCATCCCCACTGCCCCCCTTTCTCCAAGCCCCCTCTCCTGTGTGACATGAGCCAGGAGATTACTGGGGGGCCAGGCAGAGGGTGGGAACAGGGGCCAGCCCCACACGCTCATCATGGTGGGGCCCCCCCCATGTCCCGGCCCCACCCATGTCCCAGCCCCACTGCGCTCTGCTCCACCCTGGGGCTGGGTGACAGAGGGCAGCAGGCTGGGAGCTGGGTGGAGCCGGGCCAGTGGGGACAGTGTCACTGCGGCTGGGCACTTGCACCCGCACTGGGCAGGGGGGAGAATGGCTCCGGCGCCCTGCGGCGAGGGAGCCGAGCGACCGTTGGGGAACCGGTTCTAACCGGATTTTCCCGCCTTGGCGAGAGTTCCGCTCCCCTCAGGGGACCCGCCCAGGGGGCTGTATGAGATGGGGGTGGCGCCATCACTGCTGTCTGCCCCGAACCCCCCCCACCGCTCTCTTCTCTCCCCAAGATGGGGGTGGCGCCATCACTGCTGTCTGCCCAGAACCCCCCACAGCTCTCTCCTCTCCCCCCATAACATCCAGGGACTCCCCAGCCTCCGCCCCACATCCCCTGATTCTGGATCATTCCCCAAGGCTCTTCTTCTGGGTTCACTTTATATCTCATCTCCTCTTTAGCCAGGAAGGGGATGGGGCAATAAAACACCTGAGTGAGTCACAGGGGACAGACCCTGGACCAGAGGAACGGGGCCGTCGCCTTCCGCATAGAAAGATCAAACGCCTCCCACCTATTGTACCCTGGGTATCGACCCATCAGGATCGTCCACATGCATCCCTGTTCTCGCTTTTAAACTTTTCTCTGCTCACTGTGGGGCCCCTTTTATTTCTTGTAGCCTTCTTTCATTATGAGGATGCTTAACCGCAGGGAGAGGGATAGCTCAGTGGTTTGAGCACTGACCTGCTAAACCCAGAGTCCTGAGCTCAACCCCGTAAGAGGGCTGTGTAGGAGTCTGGAGCAAATTTGTCAGGGATGGTATTTGGTCCTGCCCTCAGGGGGGGACTGGGCTGGATGACCTCTGCAGGTCTCTCTTCCAGCTCTAGAGAGGTGTATATCTCCATATTTAAAACCTCTGTAGCACACGACCAAATACTGAGGTGCTGAATGAAGCAGGATTAGCCAGCTCAGGAGGGAAAAGAGGTGAATTTGGTTTCCTGATCTGGAGTCAAAAGGTCCCCTGCAACATCACTTTCTGAGCAGCAAAGTATATAAGTATTGTACTCTCCCTCTTGTGAGCCGGGGGGGAGGCAGCCCTCGCTGAAAATGAAACAACTAAATGGGCAGCTCTGGGGAGCTACGAACCCTGCACCTGCCCTGGGTGGGGCCAGAAACTGCTGCCCCCCCCAAACCAGGAAGAAGGGACCCAGGGTCCCCATTCCTACCTCTGCCTTGGCCAGGGGCAGGTGGAGCCCTGGGCAACAGAAGGTGCCTCTGTGGGTGTGTCTAGACTACATGCCTCCGTCGACGGAGGCATGTAGTTTAGACGTACCCTAGGAGTTGAGAATTGGGCTGGGTGTGGGGAGATTGCATGAAGCTTCCCCCACCCTTCAGAACAGAGAGTCGCATGGACTGCACTTTAAACTGTGCAGCTGCATGCCTGACAAGGTGGTCCATGGGCCAGATCTGGTGGCTTGGTGGGTTAGGTCCAGCCTCCAGGCTGTATTTTGCCCAGCCCTGGACTATATGGATATATCACAAGATAAGTGGTGAGGTTCTGTGGCCTACAATCGCCTGCAAAACTGGATTTCCATAGCTGGTTGGTTAAACTCCCCAGCGAAATAAACATGCTCACAGGAGACACGTCTACACAGCAGGACTAAAGCCGAAATAAGCTATGCAACTTGAGCTACATCAATTGCGTAGCTTATGTCAAAATAGCTTATTTCAGCTTTTCGTGCTGTCTTCACAGCAGGAAGTTGGAGAGAGCACTCTTCCTCCAATTTCCCTTAATCCTCATTAATGAGGGTTAAAGGAGTCAGAGTAATAAGACTTCCAACTTGATATTATTTTGACATTATGTCGAAATAACTGCTTGTAATGTAGATATGCACTGTGTTATTTCGAAACAATGTCAGTTGTTCTACAATAACACTGCTGTGTAGATGTCCCCAGAGTGAAGAGATAGTGAGTGACTGGGATAAGAGGAAGGAAAGCCACAAGCGGCTATCTTAATCTCATGATAGCTGAGAGGTCTGAAAAGGAAGCCTGGAGGGTGGAAGAGAGGGAAACAGTTAATCTGTGTGCAGTTTTACAGTTGGGAGCTTTACAGATTAAAAAATTGATTGCAAACCCTGTGGAAAAATGTAACGTCCTTTGTTTAGGTGGTTGATGCTTTTTATTGGTGCACAAAAGAAACTCCAACCTAGCTCATCAAAGTGACTATTTCCTTGGAATATTGATGAGTGTATGCAGGCTGAATATGTTGGGTTCTGGAAGAGGGATGAGAAGTAGTTTATCCTCCATGCTCCTTATCAGATCTCAATGGTAATCAATATGCTATTAAATTTTAAAATAGGAATAAAGCCCTTTTCCGGAGGATCTCTTATTCCTACTTGAAAGTATCCCCCACGGATTTCCCTATGCTGACTTACCTGTTTTGCATCCCTTTTCCGTTTTTAGGGGCCAGTGTAGACATAGCCCTAGTGTCTCTTGCTCAGACCCCACACAGAGCAGGGAGCTGCCCATCTGAGAGGGTTGGTCTGATCTGCCCTTGCAGCACAAGGAGACGCTCTGGACCTTCTCGCTCCAGAGCTGGGCACTGAGGACGGGTCCCACACGGGGGGCTGCCAGGCTGGTGTGGGACCCTCTGCGCCAGGTTAACCTCACGGATCCACAAAGGACATTCAGTCCCAGTTCAGCACAGGGAGGTGAAGGTGGAACTAGAGCGGCGAAGGGGGGGGGGCGACGGTGCAAATAGGGGGATGGGTGGGGTAGGGGGGTGACCTGTGGGGCTGAAGGCTGCAGGGGAGCCCATTGCCAATCTGCAGTAACAGCTGGGCCTGGGAGGGGGGAGCATGTGGGGCTGGGGGGCTGGCCTACGGCTGGCCCAGAAGGTACCTCCAGCCCTAGGTACAAAGCAGCACGGGGCAGGCACAGGGCAGGTGCCAATTGCCCCCCATGGTCCCAGCCAGGTAAGAAGGGCAGAGGGGAGGTGCTGTGAGGTGGGTCTCGGTCTGGCACCACTGAAAGCCTCGATCCAGCCTGCCAAGGTCCAGGGCTGGGCCCCCAGACAGGGCTGCCCCCCACTTCCCCCCGTTACCCCAATGACTGCAGTAGGGGCAGGGAGATGCCAGAGCTCTGGACATAGCCTGGTATAGCACGGTTGACCCCCCTCCCCCCGCCAGCATTGGGGAGGGGAACTGGAGTAGGGAGGTTCTAGAACTTCATCCTCCCTGGTACCAAGGCTCTAGAACCCAGGACTCCCTGGGAAGGGGGCTGCCCCCCACTTCCCCCCGTTACCCCAATGACTGCAGTAGGGGCAGGGAGATGCCAGAGCTCTGGACATAGCCTGGTATAGCACGGTTGACCCCCCTCCCCCCGCCAGCATTGGGGAGGGGAACTGGAGTAGGGAGGTTCTAGAACTTCATCCTCCCTGGTACCAAGGCTCTAGAACCCAGGACTCCCTGGGAAGGGGGGGTCCCCCTGCTGTGATGTAGATACGGGACCCTGGTCTCCTTGGTAACGGATCCCCCTAGTGATATAGAGTCTAAAAATATCCTATGGGAATGAAATCTATGTTATACTCCATTCCCACTCCCTAAACATACAATTCCTCTTTTCCATTTCAGATTGTCTTTGATTAAGGAGTATACTTTTTGTACTTACACCTTAGGAAAGATAAAATAGGAAAACCCAAATAGCTTCCCTAACACATTATTCTATATATCTCAGTCATATTTATTTCTTCCTCTTCTGATATTAATAAAACAACGGTCCAATTTCTACAGAAGAGAAAGAGAAAGAACGTCAGGACACCAATGCATTATTGCTCCATTATACAGTACTCTTCCAATATCCATTTCCCCTTTTTATGCTCTTGTTTCACCACTTGTATCTAATTGTTTTTAATTTAATTTCTTTTTTCTTCAATATTTGACTTTTTTTTATAGTTCTTATTTTTTCATTTGTACTGCATCTTTCTTCTTTCTTGAATATGTGTTAGATCAGCAGTCACCAACCTGCAGGTTGGGATCTACTGGTAGATCTTGGACTAGTGATCCTGATTGGTTTAGCCAGGAAGTTATCAAGCGCTGGCACTTCAGTTGCACTTCCACCCACTGTCCTGCTGCTCCTGCCCTCTGCCTTGGAGCTGCCCCCCTGGGATCCTCCTGTTTGCTGTGCAGGGTATGGGAGAAAGAAGCGGGGCACTGATGTCAGGGTGTCCCTCCTCCCCCCACTTCTGTACCCTGTCTCCACACAGAGAGAAAGGGATGGAGGAAGCTTGGCAAATCTCTGTCATTCCCACAAGCACACAGTATCCCTCACTCTCATCTCCCCACCCAGCAAATACCTGGGTTTTTGTTATTTCTGTTACTCCTGGCAAGGTGGGGTTTTATGGGCTTTTGACTGGACTGTGCTTTTCATAATTTTCTTTTCCCTCTTT